TTTTAATCTCCTCCAATGTTATGATGGATATTTTACAATTATTTAAATTATGCTTCACAAACTTAAAAGCTAATGAAATTAGAGCACACCGCTGCACTGACCATTCTATAAATGAAAACAAACTTTGCGTTATATAATGTTTTCTTCTCCAATTTTAGTTTGCAAAGTTCAGTGGGAACAAGAGGCACCAACAATTTTTCAAACCAAAATTAACAAGTAAACATTTGTTTACCATAGGATTCCATATTCTGTTGTCATTATCTATTTAATATACGCATTCCGTTTCTGTACTTTCAAATATTTTTTGTAAGTAACATTTTATTTAATTAAAACTGACTTATAAAAACAGCTTCTGTATTTATAAGTCTCACTTCCAAAATTATAACAAATAAATCTTTTAAAACCCCTTCCCACTACAAAAAAAAAGCAGTCATTAATCAGTACAGGTTAAAATAAAATGATAATTAAATAGTCATTCCTTTGTCTACAACCACGATTAAGGCCATTCTTTTAAAGGCTTTGGAGTGGCAAATTGAGTTTTAATTGGTGAGTGGTAATTCACACAATTTCTGAATAATCCATTTGGTTAAATGCCAATGTCAACTAAACTACAGTCAGACATAAAACTGTTATTCTAAGCTCTGTTTGTACGTAATTAACATTAACTAAAAAATGCAAGAATCTGTCTCTACAGTTTCGATATAAAATGTAAAAAATTACTGGGTCATGGTTGTGTACACAGAAGTAAAACCTCGGTAACTGACCCTCTGAGCCACTGCACTGCTTCGATTGACAAAACCCTTTTGGATTTCAATGGTTTTTGCACTGCATCAAAGGACATCTGTCAAACTCAATTTCTCTACAACAAGGCAACTGTATTATAATGGAGCAAACATTTCAAGGTTTGCACATTTATATTAATTATTTATATTCTATAAAATTTTGTTTTTGTCAACAACTAGCCTTGACTGCAATTTTCAAAACGATAACATTTTGAAAGTGCCACGAAGAATACTACAGTTACATTTGAACCATAAACTGTCTGACCAAATGCAGTGGTAAAGTGGTCAGCTCTTCATATACAGGAGATTCAGGTTCAAATCCAGGCCTGGAGACTCGCTACTGTGACTGAGGTTTTTAATGTTTTTTTTCCTCAATTCCTCCACGAAAATTGCCAGCATTTTATATTAAATTTGACCATGACTGCTTCCTCCACATCCTTTCAAATTCATCATTCATAAATCAAGCAATCATTTGACATAATCCACTTCGAGATGCTGACGGTGTTGTCAAATGAATAAAAATAAACAATTCAGTTGTCTGCTTTTGTATATTACATTAATTTAGGGATGTTTAGGAGAAATGGGTTAACTGATGTGATTATCCACATACGTTACTATTTTTATCCTATTACGGATACTCAAAGAGCTCTTTATACAGAAAAAGAAATCCAGACACAAAGATATAAGAACGCAGTTAAAATAAAAAATCCTCATCATTAGAAAATTATCTAATTTTGTCCATTGACATTGTTTCTTCTGCACCTTATATAAATGCATCAGCATTACATAAGGGATGTCCTGAGACCTTGTCTGATGACAGTAGGAAAAAAATTGAAGCAAAGAGAATCAATTTCCTGTATACAAATATGCCACTCAAAGATGTGATCACCTGGACAAGACGATGGAACAAAACTCTGTAAATATATTACAGAATACACCCAATATGAACAACCGAGATAATAAAAACTTGGAAATCCTCAGGAAGGCATAGAGAATTATTCCATAATCACTGTAGGAGGCACTATCGATGTGCAAGTAAAACAAACAAAGTATCAGGCACCAAGCAAAATAAAAAAAAATATTCACCTGGTTTACAAAAACTAGTAAAAGCACAGAAGTTATACTGTCATGCTGAGGAATCCAGTAACATTTCTATATCATCTGTCGTGAATATGCCAATTCTGGACCATACAATAACCTGTGATACTTTAGAACAATTGAGTCCTCAATTTATGACGTCACTGTAATCCAGTCTAAAGTTCTTTCGATAAACCCAGTTCAGTAGCCCAACAACTGCGAGCCGTTCTTTATGCTAGTAACAACAAACCATGGATTTTCTCGTCACTAATACATGTTATTACATTTATTGCCCTTACCTTAACCACAAAAGATGTTCAAAGAAACTTCCCCGTGCTTGCAGGCGAGCTTCACATCTCATCAAAATTCCATGCGTCCCAATGACACGCCAGATTGTGCGAACGTGTCAAAGATTTCCTTTGGCCTGTTTTTAAGAAAGGGTAATTTCCATCAAACTTATCTTCTGTCAATACACACAGTTTCCCGTTATTCTTTTTACCAAACACTGATCCTGTACTACGACACATTTTTACTAACCTATCATCGACTTGCTACGAACACTTACACCAGGGAAATGTCTGCGAAATCTACGGCGGCATCTTCTGTAGGATGAATATTCAGCAAATGCTTTGAGCTAGAACACGAGTTACGTAAGGCTACACGCAATCTTATCAACACGATCCACTACGAGAAAGATACTACTGATTAATGACCGGTTATTTTGGGTGACTCACCGAAAGAGAGCGCACGATTCAAGATCGTATCGACATGATGCCGGCCCAACTCACTTTCAAAGTCATGAATTGAAGGCTCTGTAGTTGAAACAATTCAATTAATTTTGGTAAATATTGTTTGTCTCCGAATGGTATGTGGCAGATGGAATTGCACAGTTAATTAATGCAGAAATTTCGTCATGAATGCAGTAACTGCAAACTATTCTTAACTTCTTTTGCCCCTACTCAGTAGGGTGAAAAAGACGTAAGATGGAGAACTCAGTTAAGAAGAGCCAATATAAGTGCTTCATTGAATTGTTGACGCCTGGAACTAATCACCCACTCCCTTTCTTTGTCTAAGAAGCAACTGGTGCTGGTAAAAACAAGCTCACATGAGTAACACTTCGATTTCTTTTAATTTTACCCCAGCTGAACAAACATCAACCTCATTTTCAACAAGTGTACTCAGTATTGTTGGGAACTCATAAACATCTGACAAACTATTGTAAACAACGTACAATTTGGCGAGGGGGCACTAATTTGTTTACAGAATGGTGGGGGCATGACGACATACATCATAACCCAATAGGTTCGGTCTTGCCACTAGACATTTTGTTAGTTAATTTTTAGACGTTAGTTGCGAATTATATCACTAAATTCAATAACATCCAAAATAAATAATATATTTTCAAATATTTGAATTGTCTAATTATGGCAAAATAAATGTTAACATTAAAATTATAATATTTTATATGCATTTTAGATTGTAGATTGCAAGCTATATCAGGAAAACTCAGCAGTTGATGTGAAGACAATGTGAAGAATGTTGAAGAGTGACTGAAGGATGTATGGGCAACACGCATTCTCACACTACTCGAGAAATGAAAGTTAAATGTGCTAAGATAATCTAAACCATAAACTGACTATTTTTGGTAACTGAAAAAGAACTTCATTTTGCCCAATTTCTTCATTGTCTTGCCCCATACATGGGGAAATACGAGGCAATTTATACTTTTCACTTGAGATTGCCATTTTTGAAGTTAAGCTGTTCATCTTTCTTCACTGCAAGACGCCTCTGTATATTTAAACAGTAAAAGGTAGTTACCATTTTGCACCACCTTCCCCTACACTTTAACGTCTGATAAAATTGTATTGTGCCATAACCTTTATCTATCATGGGCCAATTACATTTCAGTGAGAGACAAAAGACTTACCCCACTTAATGGTACCTGCACCTTGTCGTGGTGGTGGGGGTCGAGTACCTCAGCGACCCAAAGGGCCTCCCTAGCCAGATTGGTCGAGGGGGAGAGGTCAGAATAAGACAGGTACCCTGGTCCTCCAGGTTGGGGGTTGGTCGCAAGGCTAACAACCTCACACCGTAAAAAGGAAGATGTTTCGAAAACTCGATCAAAGCCTCGGACAGACGGACCTAACAGAGGACCGAATGGAAGAGGAGAATTGAGGAGGTCATGGACCGAATACGGACTGGAGCCATAGAAGAAGACAAAATACTTAATTTCTCACTTAAGAAGCAGGAGACTTCACAGACGAGTAAATAAGAAACTTGTGATATTAATGATAATGTGACAAACCTTTCCTGATTCTAACGACTATGATCCACGGCAATGATAGGATGTTATCGCATCTACATCAGGACAGATAGGCCATGCACGTGGAGTGGCAATGAAGCAGACAAACAAATCTGCTAAAGAACGTGGATATCGCACGTCAGTTTCGTTTGTCCGCACTTCACGCACAGAGATGGTCTTTTATGTACTGTCTGTTGCCTTGATTTTGAAAAATCGCAAACCATGAGCACTAAAGATCTTAGAAAATACAAGGCAAAGACGACAAACGATTCGATCAAAATTCCAAAATTTAATGGGTTCACTAGTGGACAAGTAAGTCACGAACAGGGGTGGCAATACAGTCCGCCACTTCCTTGAAAATCCTGCATTATGACAATAATTGTCATAGAGAATCACCGATTCACAGATTTTCAGTTCCTTTGCAAACATTTGTTTGGTATATAAAATAAATGGAGAGACATAATGTACATGCACTAAAAATGACAAGACCTTTCACGACCCAGTAGCCATGGTGTCATGTGATGTAGCATGCACAAGGACTTAAAACACAGAACACGTTAAGAATCCTTCCAATCAGCCAGTTATAAAGAGGATTAAAGACCGAAAGAAGAGTTTCCGCAGAAGCCATGCCCAGACCTCAAGATGGGCTACCAAAGCAAACCTCAACAGTCTTCTAATTCACCTTGTCTCATTAGCAGTCTAACGTCTTTAACACAAGCTGAAATCCTTGCTTTCAGTAGACGGCATTAAACTACTACGTCGTGATCGATCTCTGATGCACGTACACAAACATTGCAAGAAGACATCATAGTAGGAGTAGGGAATGAACACATTTTAAATAACACTGGCAAAACCTGCACATCCATTAATGGATAAAATTACATCGATTGAAATCCGCTCGTCGGTGTCATTTTCCGTAACTGAGCTAAACTGTCTGATGGTGAATGTACAAAACCTGGGTACCACTCTCGATGGCTTATTTTATATGAGGCACGGTAGCTCGATTAGTAAAATGACTAAGTAGTGAGGTTTCCGTTCCATACAGATGTCGATGTGTGCCAAGACGGTTAAAGCTCATGAGGGATCCGCTGTAAAAACGTGAGACTGTCATGTTAGTGATTTTTGTATACTGTATATTATCGGGAATTTTATATATGAAATTTTTGATCCTGGTTTCATGTCTTTGAAGAAGAAAAAAAGTGCTGGGTTTGTCAGACATATCAGACACGACCATCCCATTTCATTAGACAGCGGAACAGATCACAGGAGATCTTCATACTCACCGCCGTTAAAACCTCAAATCTTACGTCCAAAATAATGTTAAAAAAACTGCACTCAGACATTAAATCTTCCTTTTGGTTTTTATTGCTTCTTTGCTCACTTCTTTTAATTTAATTCATCTTCTAGATCAGAATGCGCGGATATACAAATAACAACACGGAATAGTAAGAATTTAACAACACTTGTGGCACTGAATGGCCGTGTGACTGCGAACAATTAACTGGACGGAGGTTGAGGACTAGTTGAACGTACAACAGCAGCATTAGCTTTGAGAGGCCAAATAAAACTTAACAAACCTTATAATCTGGACCAAGAAGTGAATCTGGAACCTCCAAAAATATGTACACGGAATGTTCATCACTATGCCATGGTGCTAGGTACCCAGAAGAAGTACTCCCATGACAACACTAAATGACTGTTATAAATAAATCTCTCATTGTAACAAAGATGTAACTGTTTATAAAATTTGGTACATGTTTACAAAAATTAAAGATTCCACAAGACAACAAACAGTCGCAGAAAACCGCATTACCACCGTGATCGATCCGAGCCCTCCTGCTACTGATCCTTGGATGGAATGACAGACTCCAGGTCACGCAAATCCTCCTCTGGGATATCCTTGTCACCCCAGCCCCAAAGGCGGTGGCTGCCATCGCCGGAACGGTGGACGCGGCGCCGGATCATCTCCTCCGAGACCGTCTTGCAGTCGTAGGCCCAGCCCAACCACGCGAAGAAGTCGATGAAGGCGGTGGTGAGGTTCAGCGAATAATGGCCCAGCTCAGCCGTCTTGTAGTCGTAAGGGAACACGTGGTGGTAGTTGTGCCAGCCCTCGCCCAAAGCTGCCATCGAGACTGCGAAATTCTCCACGGGGCTGATGTTTCTGCCCAAGCCACATTTCCAAAGTTTTAGAGATCGGTGTAAAAGTTGGCAAAAGGGAAAGGTAATGCTCCTTACTTT